TAGATACAGTTGGACGTTCTGTAATGGAAAAAGTTGTAGACCAGCTGAAAAAAATTGATTGTTTTTCTATACAAGTTGATGGATCAGTAGATAAATATGGAGTTGATAACAAATTCATAACTGCTCGGTATTTAACAGAAAATCTAGAGATAAAATCAGTGTTCTTAGGAGAAAGTAAACCTGATATACGAGGCGCAGAAGGTTTGCTAGATTCGATTAAAATTGTCTTCCAAGATCTTGATATTGAAGATACTGCAAAAGAAAAATTAACTGGTGTAACCACTGATGGAGAAAATGCCAATACTGGTAAAAACGGTGGATTATGGGTACGCTTAAAGCAATACTTAAAAAAGGATATATTTTGTATGTGGTGCGTTGCTCATAGATCGGATTTGGTATTGTCTGATTTAGAATCCACTATTACAGAAGTAAGACATTGGAAGACCAATTTGAAGGCTGTCGCCACCTTTTATCGAGGATCTGCTCTTCGTTACGAATGGCTTGAAAAAATTGGTGATTCTAAAAAAAATTTCTATTTATCGGTTTCCCGCATATTTTGAAGTACGATTTGCTGAGCATCTATTAAATTTGTCTAAAGCTCTTTGGAAAAACTTGCCATGTATGCAAATACATTGGCAATCAATTATTGAAAGCTCTGACTCAACAAAAATTGAAAAAGCTACTGCTAAAGGATTCTTACGTACATGGAAAAAATGACGGTGAACAAGAACATCTCACATGTCTTATGATGGACATTTTGAGACATATTGAAAAACTTCAAAAAGATAGTCAAAAGTCAAAGATTATTATGACTGATATAGAGCTCTCAAAGAAAATTGCTGTGGATTCAATTGCATTGATGGAAAATGAACCTTATCCAGGTGGAAATGAAGAAAAACTTATGAATTGTCTTGCAGGTGAAAATATTGAAGAAACGAATACAGATATTGTTGAGGAAGTCCTGAGAGAACGACGTAATTATTTTGTTTCTACTAAAAGGTGTTGGTCTGCAGTGAGAAAAGAAATAGTATTAAGCTGCAAGGAATTTCTTTCTCAGAGATTGGCTGTAGACCAAGAAAACATTATAGAACGCATGAATAAATTTACTGACGCAAGATCTTCAACTGAAACTATTCAAGCAGGACGGACTGACGTTTTAAATCTATTTGGAGAACACACAGTTTCTTGTTTTACCGACGATGTTATAAGTCTTTATGCTGCAGACAAACTTCCACCTCCTCTAGAAATGAATAACTCTACAGCAAAAATGTACCATTTTTTAAAGGTATCTACACAGTCTTCAATATTTTCGAAATTGGTGCAGTCGTTTATCAGTTTAACACCACATAGTGCTGGACCTGAGAGAGCGGTATCAGTACATACGACATTAAAAACGAACAAACAATCGAGTTATTCAAGAGAGGCTGTAAATTCAAGAATGTATATCGCTCTCAATGGGATTGGGACAGCACTGTTTGACCCAAGGCCAGCAGTTGCTAAGTTTCTGGAGTCTAAGGAGAGAAGGAGGAAACTACCTGACCCAGATCTATACAAGAATCAAGAATTTATACAAAAATTTTTTTCAATTGATTCAAACTTGTAATTTTAAATTTTAATATATATTTTTTTTAAATACAGATAGGTACTGATAACTATATATATATACATACTCTCTTCTACTTATTTTATCAAGTTTTTATAATTGAAAAATCGGTTATGTTGATACTTGATATATTTCTCAGTAGAGTTCAGTAAATTAACCTATTTATAACTTATAGATATATTTCTCTGTAGAGTACAGTTAATAAACCTATATTAAAATGTTTGAGATAGAAGAGTTGATTTCCTCCTATGTTCCTCTCGTAGACAATTTTATTGAAGTGCCACCCAGTTAAAATTACTTAAAATATGCTCTGGCATATTGTATTATACAAATAGAAGAAAATACGCTTACTGCCTACATTATATTATTCGGGTATACAGTCCACAAAATAAAGTATGTATATTATTTGTATAAATTACAATGGATGTGATGAGCTAGAGCTTAAACTTTATAAATATTTATTTCCTGTTATTTGCTTTATTTTATTTTAACATTTCTCTCCTGAAATGTGTTAACCTTAATATGTCCCATACTATATATGTTTACTCGTTAATAAAATTCATGTTGAGAAGTTAAGCTCGGGCGAATTCATTGCGCGTATTATCAATATTCATAATCCGTGCAACGTAAAGGTTTAAAAATTTGAACTGTTTGGCAGTACATGACTAAGAAACGGTATAACTACGTTTTTTTTTAATTGAATTTCACGATAAAAAACTTGCGGCAGAAAAAATTTTCCATTCCAGCTAGTCGAAATGGAAACCTTAAGGAATTCGATAAATGAACATTGTTCGAAACGCTATTTTTGCAAAAATTATAGTTTACCGACCAAATACTGACAATCTTGAATGTGATTTTAACATTATATTAATAACGGACGTATCTGTCAAGTACAGCGAAAACATTTATAAATAGGTATATATATGGTGTAACGAGTAGAACGTATACGAAAATATTTATATTTTTTCCATATTTTTGCAGCAGCAATAATCTTGCTCTTATGCGCGGTACATTATATATATAAGAATATTTATATTTTATTTTTGAGTATGTACAGCTGAGGAGTATTTAGTGTTATTATATCACATCCAGCTATAGCCAAACTGCTTATTTGTTTTTTTTAACGAAAAACGGACACCCTGCAGTTTTCTTGTTAAAACGATAGCAAATAGTATGCGTGTGACGTGCATTGCGTATATGTATTTTCAATGCGAACCAAACGATTACCGCTGTAGTGTTATGGAACATATAATATACGTGTATCTCTACGTATATATATATATATATATATATATATATATATATACGACTAATTGTCAACAAATTCACGCCAGTCGGATGCAAGACGCTTTTCTGCAGCAGCGTTTCAAAATGATTGGTTTGAAAAGCGTAAGCAATGTTGCAGTATTTTTCACGGTTTTCCGTTTCATACATTTCAGCAAGTCGGGTCTACGTAATTACAACAAAACGGTATTTTTTGTTAGAATATAATCGTCCACGTTCTTTTGCAAAATCGTAACATTGAAATCTGTTAGGTTTTTCTTTTTCTTACAAATTTTCATTTTAAACTGTAGTGACGTATATTTTAGACGTTTTCCTCTATGTACGTTGATTTGTATATACTAATGGTAGAATTTTTGAATGAAAAGAAGAATAAAAACGTATAATAAAATGAAAAAAAAAAGCAAAAGAAGCAAGTCAACAGACAAGCGTACAGTGTGCGGAACAGTGCGAGGAGAAAAATGAAACAGATTTAATTGGACTTAGGGTATTGGAAGCGGTGATTTTCTGTTTTTTTCCTTCGCAATGGTGACTTAACTGCAAAGATGTATTTTCATTCCAACGCACATCGATCGGTTTGTAACGATGGCATAAAGAATTCGAAAACAGATTTGAATTCTTTGTCAAACTTTATTTTCGAACCGATCTTTTTCCGCTTCTTAAATATTATACTTAATATATTGAACAAATTAACTTTTGTCAATTTTTGGGCTTATAATTTGTTTAATTCTAATACGTTGACCATAGAAAGTCAAAATTCGATCCACAACAGGTTTGACGACGAATTAAAATGCATACTTAGTTTCCTTATCGAATTATACATCGATCGGTACGCGTTGGGATGCAAGTACAATATATCTGTGCGAGAAGTAACAGAAAATCACCGCGTCCCAATGCCATTACAACTACGGAATACAAATCGTAAACGTTTCAAACGTGAGCGCGACAACCACGACGTGACCGATCCGATTTGGTCGATTACATTAGCGAAAGTCAATTATGTGTTTTATGCGTTTTCTGAAAAACTAAGCCAACCGAACTGCCAACTGCACGCTAATCCTAAACACTGCGACACAAGACTCGCATACTTACCAGAAGTGTGTATAAATATACCCAAACGCAATAATATACACTGGAAGCAAATTTTGGGCAGCGGTAACAGTTTGAGCCGAAACTCCTTTACGGAACAGTGAAACAAACGGTAAGGATTCGTACGAGTAGTGGTGGTGTACATAATAATAATATATCCTGTTACCATTTTTTGCGGCCTCTCACGCTGCACCGAAAACGCATGATAAAATCCGACCATCGACTAATTTAAGCTGCAGTCATAGCATTATAGATTTATTTCTATCCATTTACCTGCTTCAAAAACGCATTCCGTTTCATTTTAAAACATGTTTATAAGATCCTGATTGTATTATTTATGGCGTAAATATGATTTAGTAATCATAATATACGACAGTAAGAATACATTAATTCATATTTTTAATCTTTAAATATTTCATGTTGTGTACAGAGACATAGAAAGTTTTTTACATGAATAATGAAAAAACATAAAATTTATGTAATAAATGCTCATATAGTTTTATTTTTAAAGTTAATCAAAATTCTATAATTATAATGAATTTTATATTTTTTATGTACTAGTAAGTATATATAAGCGACTTAATGCGTTTTAGTTAAATAATACTATACCGGAATGCTCAATTACCACTTCTTTGACCATACCGGTTGAGTGCATATTTAAATAAAGCTGATTTTCTATTTTATTTGTATATAATATGCAAACCTACATCACAGCTATATCATGTGTAACCATAATTCAGTGAACACTGCGAAAAAAAGGTAATCGCATTATGTAATTCAAAATTGTGTTTTACTTGGAAGGGTTAGGTTATACTCGTATATAATTTTATATTTAAATATATAAGTAGCAAAATTAATTCTTTAATACTCTGTATGAATTGCAAAAGTACCTGCACAAAAAGCAATGGCGTTAGTGACATTAGTACCTGTGCAGTTATGTTGTTGATCTAATAACCAATTGCTATTAAATAAGCAGTTAAACATATATATGTTACGCCGAATTTATGAAATTGCCGATTTCATGAAATCAGCAATGTTGTCGCCAAATACGTGTAATCGGCAATTTGGCTACCAAATTCACGACGTCGGCAAATTTCGATTGCTGATTTCGTGAATTAGGCAGCCTTTTTCTGCCAATTGCACGAATTCTGTAACACATTATTATGATATAATTACAAATAGTAGCTTATGGCAGTAATTGAAAATTTCCTTTTTCTTTTAAAAGTTGGTGACAATGTGCTGGTGTCATTCCCTTTTGTAGATCGAGGGTGAGTTGATGCAGCTAACCTTCTTGCAGTTATCAAAGAAAAAGAAGATGGCGAATTTCGTATCGGGAATAAAGAAGGGATTTTAAACACATGGCTGGAGCGGAACAGTTTGCAGCTATAAAGTACTGTTCCCTGACGACTGCAGACGTTAAACAAAATGAATATTCATTACGGGAACTTGTTAGATTGGGGTCAGTTGGGACCGGATAAGACTATTGATTGGCTATATATTGACGTTGTACAGGGACGGATTGGGATAAAAATTCGGCCCGGGAAACCTGTACTTATGCCGGCTCTTTATGAAAAAAAATAGGTATACTCAAATTTAGTTACACAAATATATTTATAGCTAATTAATACATTAATTCTTTAGTTAGTGTCTTAGAGGTACTAGCTACTTTATTGATTATGTCATCTGTGTCTATATTATAAAGTACTTCTTTTTCGATGGACATTAACATAAACGCCTCTAGTTTGGATTCCGAGAGTTTGCTCATTAATCTGTTTTTAATACATTTTAAATTTAAAAATGTTCGCTCACATGCTACCTACGCAAAACGCAAATGGTATGAATCAATATTTATAGTGTATTTAAATAATTTATAAAATATATATGTACCTGAGTTGATGGTAGTGTTAAAAGATATTTGTATGCCAATCCTAAATTACTATAAGCACTGCTATATATATTATACGAGTACTTGACTAAAATATGAAGACAGCATACAAACATAGTACAAACATGCACTTGTCCTGAAGAAGATTTCACTAACCAAGCTGTAAAGCCAATGTAGATACCCTGCATGTTGGCTGCACCATCTGTTGCATTACCTATGCACATTTCTAAATTCAAATTGTTATTTTTCAACACAGTTTGAAGCAATTCAAACATACCATGGCCAGATGAATTTGAATATTCTACAATTGCAATTAATCTTTCATTTACTTTAACATAGTTTTTGTCAACATTTCATATTACAACAGCACATTGGTCCATAACACTTATATCCTGAGTAGTATCAATTTCTATTGAGTACATTCCTGCTTCACGAACCACATCAGATATTTTGTTTTTCATAATGCAACTAATGGAATCAATTATGACATTCACTGTGGTCTTAGAAATAAATGTAATGAGTCCACTTCTTTCCTTATTTCCTGATTCATGAGCTTTTTTACTATTTTTTATAATGGTTTTTAAATGGTTATTCAAATGAATATCATATTTACCTAGTAACAGAAGAATATCTAAGAAATTTTCATGATCAGTTGATAGATTATCCAACATATATGCTGATTTACTTTGATTCCCTCTATAACTTAGACCCCTTTTTCCGATAAATTTTATAACATCAATGCTACGTTCTAATAATTGTCTGTTATGTTTAATTTATTCTTTTCTTAGAGATTTTTGTTTTGAAAATAAAAGAAAATCAATATTTTTTTTAGTTGAATTTAAAAAATATGTTTCAGCAGCATCAGTGTGATGTTTACTATTCTCGTGTTCATCTTCTTTGATATATATGTGACCAATTGGCCATACCTTCAGTAAAAGCATTTGAATGAGGGCAAAATACTAAACAAATTGAGCAATACAATGCTTTTTCAATTGAATTATATCATAGCCACTGTCGTTGAGTATTGTCAGGATGATAATAAGCTTTTTTTGGTTTAACTGGTAGTTCCTCATAGGGCTGTTTTGGATGGTAGTCAAAAAACAGATCAAAGTTACAATTTTTTGGTTTTGAAAAGAATATGTTGGTATTTTTTTTCTACTGCAAAAATCTCACTACTTTCTATTTCAACCAGCACCAAGCTCTCTATAATAATATTAATAACAAAGCCAAACCATAATTAATATTCACATTTGTATTTAGCAAAAAAATGAAATAATATAAAATAAAAAAATGTTCCATTAATTAGGATTTAGGTATGTACCTAGCTAAATCACATAAATTATTTGATTTATCAATTTGAGGAAATAAAATTTTGTTTACTTTTCAAATAAAAATGAAAATAATTTGATGGAAAATAACAAAAATATTAAATAATATTATGCAATAAAAATGTAAATTCATTATATATGAAACGACTGATGACTCGGCCCGTTATTTACTATGCATATGTAAACGACCAAGTGTATTTTTACTGAAATGGAACCGTGGCTTAAAACGGGCTCCATAAGACCTGAAAATCGTCAGCCAACAACTATTATTCAGTCGAAGAAAGATAATAATAGTTATATTAAAATCAATTCCTTATAACTACATTCGGAACATATTATACATGGTCCTACTTTAGAATTTGCTATAAATGCGATGTAGATATTCAGAAAGGAAGCAATAAACGAAAATATTGCGGTTCATATTTAAATATGGGATTCACTGAATTTGCTTATGGACATTCTCAGCGTGTGATATATAACAAAGTTTTGCCTAATAGTTCAATATTTCCTGCTAAGCTTAAACGACATTTTGAAACACATCATGATTTCATAAATAAAACTGCAGACTATTTAAAAAAAAAAAAAAAATATGAGCTCCATGCAACTCAGAAAACGTTTGTATCTCATGTAAAGACATATTCCAAAAAAGTACTGAAAGCATCGTACTAAATAAGTTATGAATTGTTTCTTGGAGGCAAACTACACACCCTCTCTCAAAATCTTATAAAATCACTAATAGTGAAAGTAGTGAAATGCATGGCAGATGAAAAAACCGCAAAATGTCGACATTAAAGTCATGTCATGTTTTTCAACGACTTCAAACTTTTTATAAGAAAACAATTTAACAATGAATGAATCATTATTAGAAATAATTAAAGAACACCTAAATTATTTGCTTTGAAATTTGAATGTATACTTCCCAAAATTTGCTCAAAAATCAGTTCGAAAAAACTATGAGTGGATCATTAATCCATTTTTAGTTACGTCAAAACTCTCAATGCAGCAGAATCAAGGTTTTCATTGATATTATAGCTCGGTTAGAAGATCATTCAATATTAATTTCAAAAGCTAAACTAATTTTACTATTTTTTGGTACTACATATCTTCGTGAAATGGCCTTCCAACATTGCCTAATCTTTCCAGCCATTGTCAATAATGATTAGGATTATCGACAATTCCTGAACTTTCATCTTTTCCGATAACATATATACAAAATTTCATTAAAATCGATCAAGCCGTTTCGAAAGAGTATGGTCACAAACACTGTGACACGATATTTTTATATATATGGATAGTATATATATCAGTATACAAATTATTTACAACTTTTCAATTACGACGAGTTTTAATTTTTATTTCCATGAATGATTAACAGGTATATTACATAATAAATCTCGAAAATGAAATAGTAGTTATTACTCAGATTCAGATTATCAGTAATTATAATGAATTCATTATATCCATGTAGCATAAGCATGCCACCGTTAAACAATGGATTAAATCCAGATAATATTCAAATAATGCAGGTTTTGGTATTTTAACAAATAAATATAAAATCGAACGATTTAATTTTGGAAAATGTACATAAGTTTTTTTTTACAAAAAACCCGAAATGTTTGTACTATAAATTGTATTGTGCTTATATACGAGCATATTCAGCGGTTAAAATTAAAAAAAAAATTAATTATAACAACAAAATTTATAGTTTTAGTTTATTTATACATATTATAGGTAGGCCATAATTTTTTTTTAAATTTGGACTTATTATGAGTTTATGAAAACATTACCAAGCTTTCTAATTTGTACAACATGTATTTTAAATAAATACCGTAGTAGATTTATATTTCACAGCAAATAGGGATATTATATTATATTTTGTATTTTATTTTGTTGATATTTTATGCTGCGTTATTATAAATATAATGTAATTTTTGGTATTAAAAATACGATAAAAGCGTTTCAGCTCAAAATACTATAAAAATCATTATCATGGCCTTGCATGGAAACGAAACGATACTAATTAAAAAACTCTATCTGTGTGTGTAGTAAAAGTTCCCGAGTAATATACTAATATACCAAATATATAAAAAATCAATATTGCATTATAGGATTTTGGGCAGACAAAGTATAAAATCAACGAAATGATTACTTAATAGTGAAAATTAAAGAGAAAAAAAATTCAAATTTTCCGTATCTTGTGATTATTTAACACATATTGTAATGCTATTACTCTAGGTAAATCCGACAATATTTATCAAATGAAAAATTTAACAATAAAGAAGTTTGTTTTAAGTAGTTCAACAATCAAATTTAATGAAATACTTCTTTATGTTCCACTTTCGTTTTAGTATAAAATATTCAGTATATAGTGTATAAAATGTCAATAATAAATATTATAAAAATTTGAATTCAAATTTTTTATATCGAAAATATTACCTTACTTCAATAAACACTTAAGTTGTCCATGAATGATTATCAAACACTAAATCGTGAAATTTTTATATAATTCTATTGGTTTGTTTGTAATTGTAAGTTAATTTATTTCATAACAACTTCAATAAATTGTAAATAAACCAATGAGAAAAAAATAAATCAATTAATGTATGCATTTTTAACTTAATTAATTTGAACTTTAGGTTCAAAACCCGCCCTAAAGTCAAAAATTATGAAATTATTTTATAATAAAATATTATTTTCTGAAATGTTTTTAAAATATCCCTACCGAGCGAAAACATATAAATCAATATCAATTATTAATATTTTTAGAACGTAATAATCGTTCGGTTCAAAACTAATCTTCCAAGAACAGAATTATATTAAGATTTATAAAGCAAATAAAATAACGAGTGTGTACATTACACTGTGTACAAGTGTAGTACTGTTGCATATGTTATAGTGATACGACTAGGCGTTAAACGAATACAAATTAAAAGTTATTTGTCTGCATCAACGATGAGGTTTTGATAAAGTATAAATTATATGCATCGCGATGAAATACCGAAAACTAAAAGTGTCGGCGAAAAAGTTTTAAAAAACTAAACACAATTTACTCTCGTCGCTACGGGGCCTAGCGGGGTAGCAAAAAATGTTTTCGTTCGGGAAAGTTTGATTATTCAAATACTATATATTTTTTCACAATACAGTATAGCGTTACGAAAAAAATCTTTGTAATAACTGCAAAAGAAGTATAACGGATGCCGCGTTTATTGATCCATTCGTGCGCTAATTGAACTCATATCAGGCTGCGCCGATTTGCACGTACCTAATACCAGTAGAAACAAATTCGTTCGTGTAACTCACCACACAACTGGTGTATGGAATCATCCGACAACTAGACAATTAACAATGAGATGGATTCCCATCAACGATTATTTAGGTATAGGTATTACAGCTATTGTAACCGCGACATTCGAACATTGTGGAGCAAATGCTCAGTGAAAAGAGGTACTTATTTTCTTATCTTTTTTCTCGTCAGTGAATGTTTTCTATTTTTTTTAAAACATCATGTTATGGTTATGTTTATGCATTAAAAAGAAGTAAATAGAAAATTTTCATTTTACTAAGCTGAAATCTCAATTAAGATTTGTAATTTAATTATATTTTTTGAAAATATATTGTGGATTTTTTTCGCACGTCTATCACCTTATTGACTCATACGGTTAATTGACTCAAATGGCATGGTTTCAATATAAGTCCAATATGTAGCGGTAACTACTGTATTTAAAAAAGAAAAAATTATATTTGAAAGAATAAATCACGTTTTGTACGATAAGGTTTAGTTACATGGAAATAGTGTATGGTAACTATAATCAGAGTCGAACATTAGTCGAATAAAAAATTATTCGATAAATTATTAAAATAAAAAATTATTCTTTATTTATTTATTTTTCATTTGATTATTATAATTTATTTGTATTCTTTCTTTTAATTTTTACAACTATTCAATATTTCACATAATTGTGTTTATCTCAAATAATTCGTAGATAACTTAAAATTCCAACTTCATTGAAAATTGAAATCTGTGCGTTTCGTGTTTAAAAATATTATCTGCTATCGAAAATGTTATAGATTATATTGTTATAGACGAGGAGCTAATCTAACAGGGTAAGCACTCGCTATCAACATGCTATTTAATCGCACACCACGCTTTATTATATTGTGAACATTATTCACTATTTATTTAATTCATTTATTCAGAATAATCAATTTATTCACAAATTGAAATATTTAAATTAGTTTTTATTTTTTATTCGAAATTAAAACTATTTAAAATAAAATATTATTCATTATCCATTAAATAATCAGTTATTTATGTTTTTTTATGTATTTTATGTTATTTAAGA